TCTCTCTCTCTCTCTCTCTCTCTCTCTCTCTCTTTCTTCCTCTCTTTAGGTCCTCACCATGCTTCGATTAAGTCTATCAAAGAGTTTTATAGCTGCCATGTTAAGCGCTATGAAATTTAATTTCCGATACATCATCGGAATTAGCAATTAATTAGGAAACCTCACAATTCCTTTTGCATTACATTTTACATATAATGTAAAAAGTGTTTTACATTATATCAATTGTTTAGACACGCTACAAAAATTCCAATTTTATTATCTTTCATTAACAATTATCGAATTACAGTTTGATTTATATGATGTAACATAATTACTTGATATGCCGATATACTGAAGAATTGTTAAGTTACTTTGGTTACGTTTTGCAACATAATACTATTATTGTAATTTTAATATTTTAAACTCCCTCTTTCTCTATTTCCATGAGAAATATTTTTCAATGGATTTATATCCGTGTATTACGTCATGATTTTCGTTATTCGTGCACCAAAGGCTTTCGCATAGACAGGCACAAAACGTCCGGGCGTTGAAAATTGTCGACGTCATCTAAGGACGAAACGCAATTACCGGCAGACTCGCGCACCCCTCGTATATATGTACGCGGGTACCAAGATCTGCGATTCCCATTTTTATCCGGCGCTAATGGGACGACGTCAAAGTAGACCCCTATTTGCCATCTTCGCGATCTTCCGGTTCATCGATCCCGAGGCTAACCCAATAAGTTAGGCGCCATTCGTCTTGAACGCACCCGCAGACTCGTGTAATCGAGAGCTAGAGAATATTACTGATCTTCCAGGATACACACACGCGTATCGGTCTTCCACCTTGGCTATTACTCAAACGCAATTAGGATTACGAGCGCGTTATAACTTTCACTTGCAATATCATCTCCGCGAAATTACAGTCTCAATTCGAATGTTCAAACGTCTCAAAAATTTAAAATATAGCCTGGCAAGTAGCTTAAAAAAGGTGGTATAATAAAATTAAATCTCAAGATCATATTAAGCTAATTTGAAGCTGAAATTGAAATTAAAATAAAAAAATATCAATTTTCTAAGTCTTAGGATTCTATATTATCTTACCTCATTTTAATTAAACATCCAATTTCGAAAACCAACATTATAACGATACGATTTATATTTTTTAAATATATTTGAGGCCGATACAAAAATGTCTAAAATATTGGCTTTATATCACGCACTTAAACGCCAGAATAGGAAAATCAAGCAATACTCCGATTTGTTGTTGGATTGACTGTACATCGTACATTCGAGCGAGCTGTGAGTGAAGATTCGAGACAATAATTGGCTCGTCCACTCAGCAACGCTGGAGTGGCCGATGGATGTATTCGTTGAGATTACGCGAAATGGTTGTAAATGCCTGGAGAGTACCGGCCGGCCGGAGTAACCCTCACCACCCTCCCCCATCAAAGAGTGAGCCACTATCTCGCAACTGCAGTTACAACTGCACAAAGGTTAATGCATGCTATTGTTGCTGCCAACCGGCCAGAACTGCCGTGCTTTCGTCGGATCGCAGACAAACGCATTCATACGGATGTGGACGAATACACCCTTACGTTTCGACGACAATCACGACAGACACATTTAACAAACAGCACTGTTTTCACGCGGTACTTAAGCTGCCTGTCTAGAGATCGATTTCGTGGTCAAATTCTTTGATAATATCTCCGGTATAAGATATATATTGTGTCCAATTTTTATCTTTCAAGTTTGTGATTCGTCATTTCTCAGTTTTCTAAATAACGAAAATTTTTTTAGCTTCTCTTTTAGCATCTATAACTCAAAACACTAATTTTAAAATTTGTTTTGTATTTCAGATAACCGGGAGCGAATAAAAGCACCATTGAGCACCATTCAGACTTTTCCGGTCTCGCAGTTTTATTGATAGTATGTTTCACTGCGAAATTGCATTAAGCAACCTACGCTGTTAAAAGTGCACGCCGATAATAAAGGAGCCGCCGCTAGTTCTTGGTCGAAGTGGATGAAGGGTGATAAAGCGAAATGAGAATCATCACGTGGATGAAAGCGACGCGGCTCAGATCGGCTCAGCTCGGCTCGGCTTGATTCGGTACCACCTGATAGGGGAGAATCAGAATCAGGGCAGATCAAAGCGACCGGAGCGATACGTAGCACGTCGAAATTGATGGAGAACGCTTTACGTTAGCGAATTGCGAGTCTCGTAGAGTCGGAGCGGCGCAGAACTGATGGCGAGACGATGGCGATGGAGGAGGGAACGAAGAGGAGCAGCGAGGGCGGACAGAAAAGACTAAGTCGATTTTAATTTAACCGGAGGACAAATTAAAAGGCATCAATCCGGAGGGCAAAGTGCTGCGGAGGATTAACAGTTGGCTCTCAAGGCTCTAAGAGGAGCGACGGGATAACGACAGGCCCTTCGAGTGAAACGACGGCCGTATACCTAATTCGCTCGGCCCTTGGTCTACCAAACGGGAGGTAGTCTTTCAGTTCACTGTACTCAAAGACGCACGTGCTGCACCTACGTACATTTAAAAATTTTTCTATAAATTCGCAATCTTCTTATATCAAAGTAAGCGAAAAATTACGTTTCATTAATAATCGAGGGTGCAGATATTGCATTTTGAAATCTTTTAATTAAGAAAAAGCTTAATATCTTCTATATTCGCGTTTACTTGTAAAAATATATCTTAATAAAACATTGTATCAAATTATATATAATAATATATAAAATTAAGAGGATATATTGGAACTATGTAGTGACACATAAATTTAGCATCATAAGATCTTTTGCGTTTTTCGAATAAAGAATTACATGATAAAATTGTTAATAGGAAAGGTTTATATGCTTGGATTTGTAATGTACTGATTGCTGTGTGCAGTATACCGCACTACTCTGTTATCAAAATGCAATGTCCGTAGCCGAGATGGGCCAGCTAAATGGAGCAATTTCACTGTAATGATATTAAGGTTTAGCACCAACTTTAACAGAGGGTAAAACGATCGAAACCGGATCTCGTTGTTCGATAACGACAGCACGTAAGCTGCACGTTACAGTGGATTGTAAAATCAAGAATATGTCGCGCCTATGACCATCCGCATTGTTGCACAATCCGTAGGAAAGGCATATACGTCCCAATAACCCTTTTTAACAATTGCCGACTCGTCCTTTAAGCTTATCCCGTACGCAATATCGATTGCGAATCGTAAGTGTAATAGACAATTGAAGATAATTGGTGGTATGCTTTGAATCTGATGCGCAACGGAAGTAACTGTATAAGTTTATCGCGTCTTTTCTTTTCTTTTCTCTTAAAAAAAAAAAAGATTTTTTTTAGGACATATAAAAAACGTCAGAATTCTCTCTCACGTTCTCCTTTAATGTCATGCATAAAAATGATTATATCACAATCGTATTCTGGGATACAATAAAAAAAAACGGAACGTAAAATGCATTAATAAAAATCACGAAATTATAATGTTATAAATGGAAATGAAAAGGAACCGTCGTAAAACCTCGAAATTCCTAGGTCGGCGTTTTACTTCGTTTCGCGCGATTAGCGGCACGGATGCAACATCGTTAGCGATTTATAAGGGTGGTAGGCACGTATAAAAGTTACCTGCGCGCGTTTCCGTTGAACCTCATTCTACAAAGGAGAAGTAAGCGTCTTGGCGCGAGCGCTGCGGAGAATTTAAGTGAAGCTAATTTCAGGAAAGCGGTTACGCTTCCAAGCTATTTCGAGTCATGTTATTAGCCGAAATACGATGCTGCTCGCTTTTCAGGTGTGAGACAAACGCGTTCTTCTTCATTCTAATCTCGTACCAACGTTCCTTTTATCATTAATGGTCCCGCCAATTCTGCATTATAAATGAATGGAAGATGGAAGGTTTTATTAAATTAATAAGTTTTAAGACAGTCCGAAAATTTTATATCTTATTAAATGAATTTTAATTCATTTTTTCAAACCTCGCTTATTAAAACATTTAATATTAAATGTAATAAATTTGTTAAAACAAGATTATAGATTATCAAACAAGCTAAGAAAACTGATTAGTATTATTTATAACTTGTTGTGAACAAGATCTAGTCCAGAATATAATTTAGAAACATGTAAAACAAGCAGTATAAAATAAGAAGGTTCGATGAGATAGGATAATACATACGGTATGCCGTGCTGTTTTAACCGTTAATTCATTGTGGATTAATTAAAACAGTTCACAGGGGGATAGAACCCTCATACCCGTTGTTAATATTACTTCGAGACAGACAATAACGAAAGTAATATATTTCGTCAACGACAACCACTAAACTGCCCATCCGTACGTATACATGCACACCTAAACGAGCGTTAAGCTGCTTGCCAGACGTTACAAGGGCTACTTTACCCTCCGTCTGATGAAATTCTCTGCTGAAATTATTTTCAGGCTTGGCGACGGGTTAACGAAGCAGCTCGTCGTCGAAAGGAGCGAGAAGATGAAGAAAGGGCCCGTTTCAAATTTTCACTTCGAGTCGTTTAATTGACGGATCGATGGTCAATACAAACAAATTAGAACGAACAAACAGTTATGCTTTTTATACTGTTAAAGCTTTTGATTTTTTAGTATAGCAGAACTAACAATTAAGGCGGTAACAACTAAATTAAATTCGCAATCTTGTTGCTCGAGCATGTAGCTGCGTAAGAACGTAATTATATCATTTAAATGAATATCAAATTTGATTATTAAACAAGTTTTAAATAATTTTAAATCTATCTGTCCAGTTTCTGTCCAATCTGATACTAGCATTAGACGTACGATGTTATGCGATACTACTTAAAAAACAATTTTTCTTGTCGCCGACGTCAGACTTGACCGCATCGGACAATCGGGAAAACGCTCGAGTCGCTTCGCAGCGTGCACCGCCTTGCGGAAGCGCGACTCCTGTCGATTGCATTCTCTCCCGACGCACAAACGTAAATTAAAAATGCTCCGACGCGGTTAACGAGCAAACGACAAAGGGACAACACTGAAGCGCGGCAGCGCAAAGAGAATGAGAGACGGTGGCACGGTGGCGAAAATTAATATCACCCACTGCCTTCAACCCTTGTTATATGAGAGCGCGCGCACGGGGGAACCCCGTGCAAGCGCGCGTATAACGCATCAAAAGTGTAAACGCACAACGTTGAAATTCTCTTGCCACTCACCGTTCGGCGAAAGTTTCGTCCACCCCATTGTGTTTCTGATTCTTGCGTGTGTGTCAAGAAAAAATAGGGGAAATCGTGGGAACAAATCTTAATTGGAAACCAATCGAAATTTTAGTTTTATAATCTTAATTGTCGAGAAATTTGGCAGAACTATTTCTTTCGGAAATACTTGTCAGCTTCTTAAAGTTTCATTCCAACCAGAGTTACTTGTTTCTATGCTGCATAAATCTCCAAAAATGTAAATTTTATAGGCCCCAAGGAAACTTACTATTCGGCTCTGAGTCAACTAGCGAATGCGCTTGAAATTAATTGGCTCGATATGAGATCAGAACGTGGCCTCGAAGCAACATTTTTTTTATTTTATGTGAATTCACAGAAAAACGTAACTAAAGTGAGATGCGTGTTCCGATGTTTTACGATGCTCCGTTCTCCAATCAGTTGCTTCGCGCTCGTGAAAATTACAACCGTGTCAAAGTTCAAAGCATGCCCCCAAGGCTGTAGCTCACCGAAAATAGCTAAATTGCTGACTCCTCGAACTAAACGTTAACTATAAACGTTAATGACAGCGGCCGCGTTGTGTTGCTTTGTCGTTGAGCATGTCTGTTCTTACAATTAGTGCAAGAATAATGTGCATTGCAATGTAAACTCTAATGCACATGTATCACGAGCAGTATCAACATATCAACAAGATACAATGTTAACATACCCAAAGTAAATTATCAAGTTAAACAAGATAATAAGCGAATATTTTAAATTTTAACATATATCAAACGTAAAACTTTTTTTTATAAGCTATCGCTGTTACACTTGAGGAAGCGAAGTAAGTTACTCGTTATAATCTTTTCATTTCTGTGATAAGCGGTTCGTTGGAGTCGCGAGTTTTAATCACGCATTTTAGCCGGCACGAGAAGGTGGAGGCGCATAAAAAGTTGTAAATGTCAGGAATAAGGCTGACCCACTGTGGCGCTCGCTGTGCGAGGTGGTCGCTAAATGAGGCGCAACTTTGAAAACGCGGAGGCCTGCTTTTAATAATATGCACGCGAGCGTATTGTCTGCGCTCGGAAATCTAAAGAGTGCCGGGATCAAAGGGATTCTTCAAACTAGTCCGAGCGGACGCATTGTACACCGCGAATCAATGTCGCTGGTATGGCTTTACGAGAAACTCGGCTTTCTCGGAGATCCTTTTAGTCGAGAGTCGAGAGCGGGAAGCACCGCGGGAGCTGTACAATCCGCTTTGATAACGCTTTCGAGCATGAATATAATGTGATGACGATATATGCATATATGCAGTAGAAAATTGAATAAAAATTATTTTTGTGTATTATTAAAATTTTAAAAACGAACAAACTAAAGTTGCAAAATCGTTCGTTGGATAGTCGAATATGATTATCGAAATATATCGGTGATGATAATTTTTTACAGGCGAAAATAAAAATGTGCCAATATAAATTACTACTGAAGCAATAATATTCACACTCACAGAGCGAAATTAAAACGTAGCATTTTAGCTGCCGCTCTCTCAAGTCTCGAGTAAAAGCATAAAAAAATTCGGAACGAATTACACGTCAGCCATCAAAGAGGAATAAATTATTGCGAACTATCGTCGCGTGCGAACGTTAGATTCGTTCAACTCGATGCATTCTAGCGTTTTGCACCGCATCAACGCTGTGTACCTGAAGAGTCATTAACACTAAGGCCGCCGCTACGATCATCAAGCGCAGCCTTAATTACGACGTTTAAGCGAACGGTCAAACGACCTGGCGACGCGAAAGAATTTAATTATACGTCGGCCCGAAAAAGGTCGCGAAGCCGAAAGCAGAGAACCGCGAATATCACACTCTCGGCCTGCGACTGGAAAAGAGATTGAAAATGAAAGAACGATGACCTCGGAGTGAAGACTACTAGAATTAATTCGAACGCGAAGCTATGCAGCCAAAATGCGATGCATCGACGTCATTTCGTCAGAGAGACTACCACTTTTTAGAGAAAATAAATGCAAAAAGAGAAGTCGTAAGACCCACGGAAAAAGTGGTGGTATTACAGTTTCAAATAATTTTTAATACTTATTATTAGTAAGAATTAATATTTAATTAAATTTCTTTAAAAAAATTATTTTAAAAATTATTTAACAAAAATAAACTCATAAAAAATGTATTATTACAAATTTATTTTGATATAATAATCTATCAACACAATTTCACAATCCATTACAATATTTTGAAAATAACGCATTTTTAATTAAAAATATACACTTTTAATTATTATTAACAAAAATAATTTATCAAAAATATTTTTGCTTTTTTCCTCTGATAAAGAAAAATTCGCTGTTGCTTTATCGGTCGAAA